TAAACAAAAAAAATAGTCCCCCCCCCCCCGCCCCAAAAAAAACAACGGGGAAAAAATTCTGTTGAGAAAAAAAAAGGGGGGAGACCAAAGTTTTTGAGCAAAAAAAAAAAAAGTGCTGCGCCTTTAAATGGCCCCACGCTCCTCACTCCCCTACCCTTGCCAAATACTGGAGGGCAAAATTGTCCCTGCTGGGCTTCCATCCAAGGGAAACAGGAAATACCAGACATTTTACATTTTACTGCTATTTTCTGTTGTTTTTTTTTTAACCAGACAGGGCACGTGAATACCGGACTGTCCGGGTGAATACCGGACACCTGGCAACCCTACGTACACTGTGCACCCTCTCTATGCTCCGGGGAAGGCTGGGGCTGCATGCTGCCAGTCCTCCCTCACTCCTGTGCTCTGGCAAAGGCCACACTCTGCCCATGCTCCTACCCTCCAGACTGGGGTGGGGAAGTTGGGGGGGGGTTGGCCTGCCTGTACAGCGGAGGGGGACGTAGAATCTTAAAATCCGAGGGCTGGAAGAGACCTCAGGAGTCATCAAATCCAGCCCCCTGCCCGAAGTAGGACCAATCCCAACTCCATCATCCCAGCCAGGGCTCTGTCAAGCCGGGACTTAAAAACCCTGCTCCCAATCCAACCCTGCCCCACCGACCACCCCTGTTCGAAAGAACCTCTTCATCGGGAACCAAACCGCAAAGGAATAACCGCGCCGAGTGGATTTAATGATGCTCCAGCCTCCGGTGCGTGCAAAGAGCAAGGCAATTAATAAGGTATATTTAGCATGCTAAGAGGAGGTGCCTGGCTCCTGCAGCAGCGGAGATCATTTAAATAACATTTGTCTTAAAGATCACCCCGGCTGTGACTGCAGCTGGAAACGCTGTCGGCTGCTCTGCAGCTCACCTGGCGACATTCGCCCCTCGGAGGGTCAGGAAGACGGTCTGAACCCTGCGCAAAGGGCCAGGTGCACCAGCCCCGGAGCAGTTCAGACAGGCAGGCTGCCTTGGAGCAGGAAGCCCATCCTTGCTTCTTCCCGGGCCTGGGAATGCGAGGCTGGCCTGGACGAGCTGCTCCCGGCATTGGCCAGAGGGTAGGAGGTTGGAGCCAAGCTCTTGTGAAAGGGGCTTTCGGGGCTGCCGCACAGGGTAAGAGGGGCCCCGTGCCTGGGGCCCTGGGATGCAGCCACTAAAGCCACATGTGTGCTACATTCCTGGCCGGCTCTGCTTGGCGGGGGTGGAGGGAGGTGGCTCTGCGCACTGCCATTCCCCCTCGCCCTGGCCTGGAGCCCCATCGCTGCCAAGGCAGGAAAGCGCTGCCCATGCACTCGCCTGCAGCCTTCCCCCCTCCCCCCCCGCTACTCGGATTGGCTGGGAATCACAGCCAACGGAGTGGTGGGAGGTGGTGCCTGTAAGCGCAGGGCGGGGCGGAACTACCTGTCCCCCCACCAAATGGGAGCTGCTCCAGGTAAGTGCTCCAATCCCCTGCCTCCTCCCATCCGTATCCTGCACCCCTGTTCCCAGCCTGCTCCCTACACACTGAACCGCCCCAGAGGCTGGGGGGAGGGAGGGTTCCACAAAATCTGCTAGCCCCAGGCGCCCAGGAGAGTTAATCTGGCCCTGCTTCCAAGCCCACCCCACCCCTTCCACTCCGTCCTCAACCCACACTTCTGCATACACATGCCAGCTTTGACCAAGCTCACACCCTAAAACTAGCAATGTCGCCCGAGCAAGATGCGTGGCCACATGGGCTAGCTGCTGAGGGCCTATCAATGTTCCCAAGCTGGTTTGTACCTCTGGTGATCTGTGACTACACTGAGCCTACCCATGTGCGCATGGTCCCCTGCGCTTCCCCATGCTCCCCTGCACTTCCCCATGCTCCCCTGCACACTTGGGTGTATAGCCCAAGTAACCGCCTCACTCCCCAGTCTTGTTAGGTCCCACACAATCCCTCTGCCCTTTGGAGGGGAAGGAAAGAAAGATCCCCTGTCAACAAGAACTTCATAAAGATGACGCAGCAGGTGAAAATCCATTGAGTCAGCGCGACAAGGTTCCAGAGTTGCTACCCTGGCTAGTGTGAAATTCTAAACAGGCCTCAGTCCTCCAATTTCAGGGCACAAGCTGCTCACCAGCCCGGCTGAGGAAGGAATTTCTCCTCCTGTCCGAGGTTTGCGTAGTTGGGTGCGCAATACAGAGGATTTCCTTTGGGTTGGAAGGACCCGCAGGGCTCTATCAGGCTACATGACTCACTGGGTCCATTCCAAATCGGCAGCTTCACATATGGCCAAGCAATCGTAGGAAATAACGGAGCGGGAGGAACATAAACGCTCACGTTTCAGGGCAGGGAAGAAATTTGTCCTCTAGGGGTTCGGGCCATATGCTTTTCCAGCGTGCACTGTCTGAGAGAGGGGAGGAAAAGTGGAGAGAGATTTATCTCTTTGGCAGTTTTAGCCCACATCCCTGATGGGCTCTTTATACCACAGCGGCTCTGTTTGTGATTTACTACAGACCCGCCCTCCCTCGTGGCTTTCTAAGTGGGGCAGCTGAGTCAGGATAAGGAAATACAATAGATGAAGTCACTGGGAACGGACTCGCCTCCAGGAATAACGAGGTGAACTGTCTTTTCACCCTGACCTCGCCCACGGCCCATTCCCAGGCTGCCAGTCCAATCTGCTGCCAGGCAATGCTGTACTGGAAGTCTTGCCTGGACTCAGGAATCCCTCACTGGAGCCGCTTTAAAAAAGGGATCCTGGAAAAACTGAATTTGTTGAGAACTGCAGAATGGAAAGAAAAATGTAAAAAACTAGAGACTTGCCCGCCGAGAAATCTGCGTGCAGAGAAGCCGTTCGACTTCCAAGATTTGACATTATGGTCCTAGAAGGAAGAGTCAATACACAGACCTCAACTTCTGAAGTGAAATGAAGGCCTGGAATGTACGATTTTGGATTCATATTGTTATTAGGTGCTTGGCTTTATGGCAAGCCAAGCACTTAATACATAGGCTCATACGTGACTGACACTCCATCCCTGATTCATATAGGCTACCTCTAGACTGCCGGCTTCTTTCGGAAGAAGATTTTCCGGAAGAGATCTTGTGAAAAAACTTCAGAAAGAGAGCGTCCATGCTGCAAAAACACATTGAAAAAGTGATCTGCTTTTTCGAAAGATAGCGTCCACACTGAACGGACGCTATCTCACATTTAAGCTGTGATTACTACGGACAGAGTGATCACTAGGGCACCTGTGCTTTTTCCTCTTTCCTCTTCTTTCAAAAGACCTCTCTCTTCCCCATCCACACACGCCTTTTTCTGAAAGAGCTCTTTCGGAAAAAGGCTTCTTCCTCATAGAAAGAGGATTACCAATGTCGGAAAAACCCCTCTGTTCTTTCGATTTTCTTTCGAAAGAATGCAATTGCAGTGTGGACGTAACTCAAGTTTTTTTGGAAAAACAACTGTTTTTCCGAAAAAACTCTATAGTGTAAACATACCCATAGACCTAACGGGAGGTAGGGCAATGAGGGTTAGTGGTTTTTTGTTCAGGAGTGGGTGTAAAACTGAAGAAACCACAGGAGAAAGGGACTGGTATTTACATAAATGGACAGAGGAGAGAGGTGTCTCTTCTTAATTTTGTTTAACCCTGTTCTAAATTACAGTGTCATGGCGTGGTGGCGCATCGGGGTCCCCCACCTCCTGCATCCCCATAGTGGCACGAACCGAATCCACCAGCCAGTAGAGTAGAGGAAGTTTATCGCTTCTCCAGGATACAGCACAGCACAGGTGTAATCTGGTTACAGGAACTGGGGCTAGGAGGCCTCAGTGCCCCCCTTGAGATGGGGGGTGGCTGGGCCCTACAATCCCAGCCCCCTC